TATAAAGTTTTGCTGGTCTGCTATCACCGTTGTATCATTTATGCAACTAGTCTAACAAAAGGTAAAACAGTCCTAAATCACACACTGATTTTAATATTACTAAATATTTTGACACATTTCTATAGAATGAACATAAATAATTTAAATTCAGTGATTAAAACTAAAAATTAATAAAAAAATATATATGTAAACATCGGCTTTGTGATGGGCTTGCAACCTGTCCAGGTTGTCCCCCACCCCTCGCACAGTGATTGCCGGACATGGGCACTGGTGACCCCCGTGACCCAAAATGGAATAAACGGGTAAAAAGATAATGGATAGATGGATAGATGGATGGATGGATGGATGGATATAAACATTGTTCCTTGTTATCCAGTATTTGAATATTTGGAGTACAGTAGTCCCTCATTTATCCTGGGGGTTCCGTTCCCAGCCCACCCACCCCCTGCGCGCACGATAAGTGAAAAACCACGAAGTAGGAATAGTAGTACAAGTAGTAAGTAGTAGTTTATTTTAGTATAAATATGCATATATAAAGGCATTTTAAACCTTTCCCACACTCTTGCAATATTCTAAACAATGTTTCTAAACTCAATGCTCTAAAAGAGCACAGCTTGTCATGATTTCAGCTCTCTGCCACCTGCCATGACATGCTGCAGGAGGAATGTTCTCCCTGCAGCTGGGGGCTGCACACAGGCGCTAAATCCTTCCATCCATCCATTATCTTTTACCCACTTCTTCCATTTTGGGTCACGGGGGTCACCGATGCTCATGTCCGGCAATCACTGTGTGAGGAGCGGGGTACACCCTGGACGGGTCTCCAGTCCATCACAGGGACACATAGAGACAAATGAGACAAACAACCATTCACTCTCTCACTCACACCTAGGGAGAGTTTAGAGTTCAGCCTAACATGCATGTTTTTGGTCTGTGGGAGGAAACTGGAGTACCTGGAGAAAACCCACGCATGCACAGAGATAACATGCAAACTCCACCCAGAAAGGCCCCCGGACCGGGATTTGAACCAGGGACCTGCTCGCTGAGGGGCATCAGCTCTACCAGTTGTGCCACCGTGCTACCCAGGCGCTAAATCATTCTAAACAGTTTATTTCAAATTAAAATTTTGTGCTGATTGTGCAGCTCATCCATCAATCAGCCAATTGTGCGTCATGTCCAAACTTACTTTGAAAAATCGTGAAAGAGCGAGTCCGTGAAAGTCGAACCGCGAAGTAGCGTGGGACTACTGTATGCAGAAAATACAATTTTACCTACTGCACAAGCATGTCCTGTGCCTTTGTGCGAAATGTTAATTATTAAAACTACAAAAACTGAAATGTGGACGTGAATGTACTCAGTATTCCCCATTACAAATATGGCAGAGTTTTATAATTAGTTTTATTGTAGAATCATTTATTGTCAAACTGGGGAGTGTTGGCGCAGAGGTTAGAGAAGGTGGGCATGTGATCGGAAGATCACTGGTTCAACTCCCCGTACCAACATCACAATGTGGGTGGGACAGGTGAAACGCCCATACCTACTTCCACCCTCACCTGCCCCACTCTGGACCCTTGAGCAAGGCCCTTAACCCCCACCCTCTGCTCCCTGGACACCCTAGATAGCAGCTCTCTGCTCCACACAGAGGGCTGTGGTAGCTCGGCGGTCTGTGGTTGCATCAGGAAGGACATCCGGCATAAAAGTAATTGCCATTTCTTCGTGTGACTTAGTTTGCTGTGGCAACCCCTGAAGAAGGGAGCCGCCGGAAAAATAAACATTATTGTCAAGCTAAGTTTTTAAACATCCCTTGCTGTAGCGAGTCCTTGATGCCTATGATTAAAAACTATAAGCAAAATCAAGATTAAAAGGTTGACACAGATTATGTATAAAGAAACTTTTCTGTTTTATAAAAGTCAGTCATTCATTTTTACTTAATTTTTAAACCAAAGGCTGATTTTGTGGTGGTAATCACATTTAACTTTTACGACCAACGTTAACTGCAAATTTTATTTATTTATTATTTACCAAAGAAACAAACAGTTTTATTGTATTTATTTATAATGGGATCTAATCTTTTCCAGCTTTATTTTACAATCACTTTTGTTTGTTTCTGGTGACACAGCGGCTCATTTCAAAGCCCAGGACCACGTGGCTCCTTCCACGCCAGCCCAGGCTCGACATCAGATCCTCATGTCTGCCATCGTCAAATCACCAGAGCATCAGCCCAACCCCAGCAGCCTTTTAAACCCCTCCACTCGCTGCAAGGAGACCTCCACACCTGAAGGTTAGTCACATGCACAATATTCACGCAGGAGAAACTAAATGTTGTCCCACAAAGTAATCACCCTGACTGTGAAGTCTGGATTTCTTGTCTTAAAGCTGTAGTTTATTCCCCCACAGGAACATGTAGCCTGATGCTTGGACTCCTGACTCACCTGTTTTGTTGATGTTGAGTGTTATGTTTGTGTTTTCTCAAATGCCAGTTTCACAAAGCAGGAGTATCAAGTGAAATAAAGTATCAAAATGATGCTTCAGATATTTCGCACCTGAAAAACAGATCGAGTTTCAAAGTACAGGCACAAAAGACAAACAAGAACACGGTTTTGAGTTGATTTTACTAACACTGTAGGTTCTTTAGTTGTCTAAATATAAAGCTACAGTGAAAGCGCAGGCTTTAATCTAGGCCCTCCTTTATCATAAAACTAAAACACACTTTTGATGGAGGTGATCACCATGGAAACTGAATCGCAGCTCAGACCTGTGTAAGTCGTTCAGTGGATCCCATCAAAAAAGTGTAAACAACTCAGCAGTCACCTAGAAAAAAATAAATTAATTCAACTGTACAAAAACCCAGTCAGCAGAAGGCTTGAGGAAACCCTTTGCCTGGAGTTGAACCTGCTTTGTGATGCAGGCTCGTTTTGTCCGTGTGATTCTGCTTGCACTTAGATATTGTTAGACTGCTTTCTCCTTTCTGTCTCTTTCCTCTTGCTCCTCACAGAAAAGAGGAGGGTCACATTTGAAAGTAAGTTAGGAGTCATCAGCGTATGTTTCCAGTCACCTGTACATGCATGTTGTGCTGTGGTGACACATGTCCATCATCACACTGTACACCTGTTCTGCTGTTCATTGGCTGACTGCAACTTAACCAAAGGCTTTTTTTTTTTTTTTTGTAGTTTCCAAGTTTTGACGTGACGCTATTGTCTCTCGTTGTTTTTAGATGGCTTATTGTAGGATAGGTAGCGTTTCACCCAAAAGCATTTTAATACATTTCATGCTTTTCAGCATGTGCAATCAGATTTTGATTTGGCTGTTTTAAAGTTCTGGAGCACTCTCTTATATCTGCAATTTAGATAACCAATTCATTATTCAAATTCCCTCATACTGCTTGAAAATAATCCATCTAATATTAATCTTTGCTGACTGCTGCAGCTATTAAACCCTTCACAGAATAACAATGTGGCACATTCTCCTCCTTTCAGCGACTGATAAATTTGTGCACTTCTTTTACCGTCTTTTGCTTTGCAGAGTTTGGTCGTCGCGTGAAAGAGAGAATGCATCACAACATCCCTCATCGTTTCACTGTGGGCCTCAACATGAGGGCTGCCAAATGTGCCGTCTGCCTGGACACTGTTCATTTTGGACGACAGGCTGCCACTTGTTTAGGTCTGTATTGTGCTCCGTACGTGGGCAGGCAGAATACCGAAGTGTTTCTGGGGAGTATTATTGACCAGGCAAATGAAGAGTTGTTCCTGCAACTTAACCATTAAATTAATGAGTCAGATTTGTCTGTAGATATAATTTTCACCGTTATAAGTTTTATAAAGAGACAGTTTCTTTAATTCACAAAGCAACAAAGTAGAGGCAATATAAAAGCACATTTCTTTTGTTTTCATTCTTAATTGTGAACAGCGCAAAATGAATTATATCTGTTTGCATAATTTTACGTGATATTTGTTAACTTTTGTTCTCTCAAGCCTGAATCTCTGACATCGACATGAACCAAATTAAGATTTTTCTTTCATTTACCTGTTATATTACAGAGTGCCACACCTTGTGTCATCCTAAATGCTCGCCATGTCTGCCAGCCACCTGCGGTCTGCCGGTTGAATATGCAACTCACTTTTCAGAGGCTTTGTGCCGAGAAAAGGCAAACTCGCCTGCACTGCAAGTCAAAGAAGCCGCAGGGCATGTTCGTTTGGAGGGATGGATGAAGCAGCCAAGGTAACTGTATTATACTGTAAAAGTTTAACTAAATGTGCAAAATGTTATACACAGCACATTGTTTTTAATACATCAATTTTTTTTTTTTTGCATAGAAATGGCAAACGTGGCCAGCAAGGGTGGGAGAGGAAATATGTGGTCCTAGATGGAACCAAATTATCAGTCTATGATACTGAACCCAGGGAAGGTCGGTTTACTTTTTTTTTCCCTGAATATTTTCTTTGTTGCAACATTCAAGAATACATCTCTAGTGAGGCAGTTTAGTAATAATTTAAGATTATGTGTTGCTGTATTGATCCCAGTAGATATTGAGCGGTTTCTTTTTCCTCCCCTAGACTCTGTAAAGGCTGAGGAGGAGTTCGAGCTCTGTTTACCTGATGGAGACGTGACCGTTCATGGAGCTGTTGGCACGTCCGAGCTCATCAACACCGCCAAGTCGGGTACAGAACCAGCAGCAGCTAATCCTGCTACCCAGCATGTTGTAAAAATATTAAATTTATCTTGCAGTGAATTGAAATGATCCCACTCTGTAGTTTGACTCCCCACAAAACATCTCTGAACTCTTGTTTCTAGCAAAGGAACCATCTGAAGCATGTTTTGTTCTCGTCCACAGATATCCCATATGTTTTGAAGTTGGAATCCCATCCCCACACCACATGCTGGCCAGGGCAGTCCCTCTACTTCATGGCTCCCAGCTTCCCCGACAAGCAGCGCTGGGTGGCCGTGCTGGAGTCTGTTATGACTGGCAGTCGTGGATCGAAAGACAAAGCAGAAGCTGACGCTGTGAGTGCTTTATTTTTTGTATTTTAATTTTTACTTTTACACATCTACCATGTATTTCTTCTTGTACCAGGCTTTATGGAGGTCAAAGTTAAATAAAGTTTGTAAGAGGTGTAACCACAGCTCATAGCTTTCTTGATACAAGCTTAGGTTGTAGGTAAATTCTGAGAAGTAGATTAAACTAGAAGTTGTAGTCTGGTTTAAGAAGTAATTAGATATTTTGAATGCTTTCATTCAACACCCAGCTTCACTTCTTTTTCCCGTCACTTGTTTTTTCCCTCCTCTTTCTCCTGTCTCTTTCTCTGCATGTTCTCAAAATCCACATCCTGTATTTATTTGTTGTCATTGTTTATGTGATTAAAATGTGTGTGCGTGCACTTGTGTTTGTATCTTCATTCAACTTGGTTATGTGGATCATATTATAGGCAGATGGTTCTAAAAGACAGAAGAACCTATCCCCTCTGGTTCAGGTACAGTAAGTAGCTGCATGGATGCTTGGGCTTCAGTTGTCCGACCGACTGAGCATGATTTAGCTGTACACAAGTATGCGTACAACACTGGTGCACTTTACTGCAGCTGGACACATTTCAGGGTCAGGCACTCGGTGTGATCAATGTCAGTAGTTTCCCTTAAAAACATTTGTTTTCTTAGAAAGTCACATACAATGAATAGTTCAGATTTTTTAAATTAGGATTATGTGGAAAGACTTTTAATATTTTTAATACTAAGGCCCTTTTAAGAGCTGCCGACCGCAGTTAAGATTTTTCCACAGAACCCCGTCTTAAAAGATCTGAATTATTGTTTTGATGCATGAGAGGGAACAAGCTGCTGCACACATTTGACTTTGTGTCCTATGCTGTCTTGCATGCTCCCTGCAAAAGCTGCGCTTAAGCCCCCTTTAGTGAAACATGACACACACTAAGTTTGAACGTCAGTAGGCATCAGCTGTTGGTGCTTATGTGTGGTTTTAGCTTTAGAGAGAAATGCCTCCTCTCTTCTTTTTTTTTTTTTTGTTGGATATCATTAAATAAAAATGCTTTGCCTATCAAGAAATGTTTTTTTATTTGTTTAAAAATAACATTTATATCTAAAATTGGCACTGTATGTAACATTGCATTTGTTTCATTTTTCCATAATTTTATTACATACATGTTGCCATAATAAATGCACTCAGATTAATTATCACAGCATTGTGAAATCTTTATCAGTAGATTTCCTTCCAGAGCCTTTTTTCCTTTCTGCTGCAACACACCCCAACGCTCTGACTTTCTGCTTTAACTCTCCTGCTGCTCTTTGGTCAAGACGGCCCACGAGGCCTTAAAACTCAGGTCTGGGGCCATTTTGACCCAAAAGTAGCAGGAGGGGTAATTCAGCATCTTTTCAGTTTTAGTGTTGGCTCAAACTTCCAGATTCAGAAATAGATGCACACAAAACTTTTATGTCTTCTCAGAAATATTTAACAAATTAAGAGTTTTATTCTGCTTAGCTTGTCCACACATAAATCTAGTTTGTATGGTATGTGTGGTATAAAACATTAAAAAGTACATTTTAACAAAATTAAACACATTTCTTCGCTTAACCTAAACAAAGTTTAACTGTATTTTTACAGGACATAATGTATCGGCTGTGTGGTTCACACGTTTACCTCGCAGTTTTGATGTTTTATTAATTTGGTGTTTGTAAAGGCTCTGGCTGCCTTCCTGGCTTGTTTACCTACGGTACTCTCTTGCAACTACCGTAATTTGCAGAATAATTTCTTAACTGGTCTCAATGTTGCTCGTTTCTCTTTGTTTCTTGTCTTGATAGAAACTTCTGGGTAATTCTCTTCTGAAACTGGAGGGTGATGATCGCTTGGACATCAACTGCACCCTGCCTCTCACTGACCAGGTACATGATTAGAATATAATGGAATAAAATAGACCTTTATTGTCATTGCACCTAAATACAACAAAATTTGGGTTTGCTTCCCAGAGCAAAAGTAAAAGCAGTATAATATAAAACAAACGTACAACACAAGCAGATTGATATTACATTAGATGTCCCTTTATTAGACGTGCTCACTGACTGCTACCTCAATAATTGTTTCACCTGCTAAGTTCGTATGATCCCTTTGTTTGTTTTTACTGCAGATTGTCTTGGTTGGCTCTGAGGAAGGGTTATACGCCCTCAATGTCATTAAAAACTCTTTGACCCACATCCCTGGCCTGACCTCAGTTTTCCAGATCCAGATCCTAAAGGAGCTTGATAAGCTGCTGATGATCACAGGTTAGTAAAATCCCAGTAAACGGAAGCTATTGTGTTAAATATTCAAAGTAGCTGTTGGTTCTTTTTCTAAATCAAATAATGCCAACACGCTGTTCACAAGATTGCACCGTGTATTGGATTTGCTTGTGTGTCTGGACCTAATAGCTTGTACAAGAAGTGAAATGAACTGAACATTGTACATCTCATTATGGAAGACATGGTTGTTGTTTCATTCAGGGGAGGATAGAGCTTTGTGTCTGGTGGAGATCAAGAAGGTGAAGCAGTCTTTGTCCCAGTCCCATCTCCCAGCTCAGCCTGACCTCAATCCCTTCATCTTTGAGACAGTGAAGGGATGCCACCTCTTCTCCTCCGGAAAGGTGAGTCAGGCTGTTACTTTAACAGAGCAGAATCCCTCTAGACTGTCATTCATTCAGTTAATTAGCTGAACTTCACAGTAAAAACTCAGCACTGTTTTGTCTAATTGCAGATACTTTACTGCCGGACTGACTGCAATTGTTTTTTTTCTTTACAGATTGAAAATGGGATCTGTATCTGCGCTGCTATGCCTAACAAGATTACAATCCTGCGATATAATGAAAGCCTCAACAAGTTCTGCATCAGAAAGGTATATAAGCATCAGGGCTTGATGCTTTACTTCAGAGAGCTATGATGTTTAGGGGGTAGCTTACTTCATCTTTGTGTCTATTTACAGGAGATTGAGACATCAGAGCCTTGCAGCTGTATTCACTTCACCGGCTACAGTATCATTATTGGCACCAACAAGTTCTATGAGATTGAGATGAAGCAGTATGTGCTGGAAGGTAGGTTATTAACATTTGAGCTGTTATTTATTTATGACCAGATGTTATTTCAACATAGTTTACAGCAGCATGATTCAGTTACCTTGGGGTTACCCAATTTACACCTGACCACATGACTAACACCAGTGATTTGTTTCTGCAGAGTTCTTGGATAAAAACGACGTTACATTAGCTTCAGCCGTCTTTGCTGCATCTTCCCATAGCTTCCCCATCTCCATCATCCAGGTCACCACAGCCCCACAGAAGGAGGAATACCTGCTCTGTTTTCATGGTTAGACCCTTACCTGTCCGGCTACAGCTCGTGGAGTTCATTGTTTACAAATCTAAATACACCTACCTGAGGATAAGCTAATATTTATTATTCATGTGAGAACCACTAAACAAGAAAGAGGTTTTCCTGACTCTTTGTTTTTAGTTTCTGTGGCATTGTTTCATCTTTCATGTTCAGTTTTTTTAAATTTTGATCATTAACTGGAATTCTGTCGTGCAGAGTTTGGTGTGTTCGTGGATACATACGGCCGCAGGAGTAGAACAGACGATATCAAATGGAGCCGTCTGCCTCTCTCATTCGGTCAGTGTAAATTAGTTTGTACCTTTTACTCTATCTAAGGACAAACGTATAAATAACACTGAGCTGTATTTTGGTTTTTCAGCCTACAGAGAGCCCTATCTGTTTGTAACTTACTTCAACTCTCTGGATGTTATAGAGATTCAAGGGCATGCTGCTCTTGGGTAAGGCTGATCTCTGGTTTTATCTACCTAGTCATAAATCAAGCATCTGAAACACCCAGACTAATTTAAGCTATTTTAAGAACTGCATTGTAGTTTGAATCCTACTTTGTTTCACTTTGAATGAATTCTTTTAAAACTTCCTACCTCTGTCTAGGCCACACTCTTATGCACACTTGGACATCCCAAATCCACGCTACCTGGGCCCAGCCATCTCCTCTGGAGCCATCTACTTGGCCTCATCTTACCAGAACAAACTGCGGGTCATTTGCTGCAAAGGCAACTTGGTGCAGAGTCAGGAAGGTGGAGGAGATCTGCAGCGCAATGGCTCCGGACGCAGGTGAGAGCACATAAAGACAACTCGGGGTTCTGTTATCTCTAAATCTCTTGGCTGTTACTTGTTCATTTTATCCACAAGACACTTTCTGAACTCTTTATTTACTTTTCATCTTGAATCTTTTTTTTTTTTGCCTTAAACTGAAATGCGTTGAAGGCACGGAACATCAGAATCTGTAAAAGAGTGAAGTGGCATCAACATTTGAGCCAGATTTAGAATGCAGCCTATTACTGTGACGTCCTGATCTAAATCCCCACTTATATATTTTATTAGTTTTATTTTTCTGCAAATGAAAACCTTTCATTCCTTATTTCACTTTGCTTTTCTGCAGAAAATAAAAACAGATTATAAAAACACCCAGAGGAAGAAGTGACAGTTTAATTTGTTTCAAGCAAATAAATTCTGCAGAGAGGAAATAAATCTTGAGACGAAGTAAAATAATCCTAAATAAACATTTACATTTGCTCCTATTTGTTGGATTATTTGAGCAGCTTGGTCATTTATTAGTTTTCGAACAGTTTCACTCTTTACAGAGTCTGAAGACTGTACAGTGAGAATGTTTTCATGATGTCCTCTTTTTTTGTATGTTTATTATTTGTTTGCACACTGGTGTTGACGGGTCTCTGGACTGAACTGGCACTGAGGGCACAGGTTGGTGTTCACAGGTGGTGATGGTTAGATCAACCTAATGTTTAAACTTGTTGCTGAACGGGAAAGTAACACCTTCGCTTTGTTTTTTTGCAGGAGGAAAGGTTCGTTTTTTATCTGTGGAAAATCTTAATATTTGTCTATTTTACCTTTAATACTGTTTTTGATCTCGAGGCTTCAAGTTCCCAGGTTGTGTCAGAACGGGCATTCAGCTTTAAACAATTCCCACGTCTGTGCTGACCCTTGCTAATGGAAACAGCCTAAGGAAAACAATGAACTGCTTTATTTATTTATTTATTTTCTGTGAATTTAAAAAAGGAAAACTGCTGAATAAAGACATCATTTAATGCGTTGGTACTGGTCTCAATTTAAAAATGCGTCATGGCTTTATTTGCTCTTTAATTATGTGTGTCAACCACTGACTCAAACCTCGTTTAGCTATGAACTAATTACAGCTGATGGGTTTGGTCACTTCTGTTCTCAGATAACTACACACATGATAACTAATTAATTTGGCCTGATTGTGAGTCCATCACCCACTCATCATCCTCCCATCAACCTGATTTCCACAGTGCCCAGCAAAGTCCTCGACCTGAGACACAAACGCTCCTTTAACCAATGCTGCGTGCATGTCTTTACACCTGATTCTTCCATACAGTCCCAACAAGCGTGGGCCCCCCTCCTACAATGAGCACATCTCTAAAAGGCTTGCTGCCAACCCTCTAGTCCACGGAGACCCTGGCACACCTCACCGCTACAGAGAGGCTCGCACAGAGTTTCGACGGGACAAGTCCCCCAACCGTCCACTGGAGAGAGAGAAGTCGCCCGGCAGAATGCTGGAAAGCCGGATCAGTGGTTCTCCCGGCAGGGCCATGGCTGACCCCCGATTAGAGCGGTCCCCGGGCAGGGCCATGGCAGACCATCGCATGGACCGCTCACCCGGCCGGATGATGGATGTTCGAAGGGAGAGATCTCCTGGACGATTTGAAGAGAGGCAAAGGCTTCATACTGGCTCTGGACGCACACCCATAAACCCAGTTAACAAGGTTTGTCACTCGTCTCTGCCTTTGTACCATCACATTAATTAACGACACTTTATTTGGTTAAGAAAATGCAGAAATGTCTTTTGGTATTGGGGATTGGCTGTCGGTCCAGAAGAGAACTCGAGTGGGAGGGAATATTCTTATAAGAGCTGAGCTGAATGTGCGTTACTGACTTTGTCTTGCAGGTGTGGGACCAGTCATCTGTTTAGAGGCTGCACAGCTACACATCCATCCATCAAAAATGGAGACATTCAACTCTGCAAAGAGAAAAGCAGGAGCGGAGAATCAGTGAGAGTTACCATCTCAAAATGAAACTGCCACATCTGTTCTAAAATTAAAGGCATACACAAGAAAACAACAGTAGCTTTCAGGAATTAAATCGTTCAGATTAGCTTTTTTTTTTTTTAATGAAGATCAATAAAATGCCATATTGAGCACCTGAGCAGGGATTTTGTTGATTTTAGCAGGTACTCTGCTCCAAATGTGGATTAGCAATTGGATACAAATCTGAGATGAGTTTTGTTAACTTCATGGAGGCTAGAAGAGATAAGCACAGCCATAAAACCTTATTTTTCAGTCATGTCTAAATTCATTCAACCTTTATTTATACAGGTTAGTCCCATTAAGCCTTGGGGACTCATTTACAAGAGAGATCTGCATATTTGCAGTCACTACTAAAGGGTGGTTGAAGTTGATCAGAAATTATATAAAAAATAAAATCTGTCCTCAGTAGCTACATAATATCAGGACAGACATGTAGCAGGTCGCCTCCGTTTCCTGCCCTGCGACGACATGTCGACACAATCAGCGTCGGCTAATTACCAGTACAATCACTTTCAGCTCTGTCAGCAGCTGACAGGACTGGGAAGGAAAACAAAATCCATTCAGTAAAAGTTTGGTACGTGAGCCTTTCTTAACCAAGACGCTCAACAGAACCACACGCAGGATCATCGTCTGCTCTTTATAGCTCGACACGAAAAGTGCACTACCCACAATCCCCAGCAGCAACGGAGCAGCATCTTTCTAATCCTTCAGATCACAATCTAAGTGTAAATAGACAAGACATAATTTTATATATATACTGAGAGGGAATTTCAAGGCTGGAACAGCCATGTCTATTTTTGTTAAAGAACAAAGTGATAAAGTGTCCTCTTGAATGTCCAATGAGTATTCTTTTAACATGTCCTAGCGTCTTTATCAAGTGCGTGATTGTATCTGGATCAAACTTGTGTATGCACACGTCCATTTGTCAAAAGGCAAAACCTCAGTGCTGAATATGAAGGAATGTGGGGAACAGATCATGTTTGAGGCTTACAACATAGTATTTGAGCATTTCTTTTTGTATAGTGTCCCTTATTGTTGTATATGACCTGAAAAGGTCAAAGGTGAAGACGATTTTTTTCCCCTCCTGATTTGTAAATGGCATGGATATGTATATCTGAAATGAAACAAAGTGTTGTCTTCTGCTTCTGCCTCATTGGGTTCTAATTTAATTGCACAGAGGAACAACAAAACACACGAATCACCTCTTTATTTCAACTATTTGCTCAGTTAATTAGTTTAACAATTATTACTAAATCTCTTTTTTTAATGACACCAGTTAGTCTAATTTGAAAATGTTTCTTAATTCCATACGTGCTTATTTGGTTAATTTACCAAGACAAGTTAATTTCTAAACATCTTCTTTTGCTTTACGATAATTAAATATTTTTGTTTTTCGATCGATCATGTTCTTTTAAACGAAAGTGGACGAGATGCCTCACTTGAGTTTGCCCCGTTTGTCTCGACATTTTTGCTCTAGAAAGGAAATTTTTATCTGCGGCTGTTAAGATTTTTTTTATTTATTTATTTTTTACTTCCTGAATGTACTAAAGTAAAGCAGATGGAACTGATTTGCTGGTTTTTAAATGTCAAAAGGAAATGCGACAAATTGCACTCACGTTCAGCTGGTTCTTATAGGACTCTGTACAATAGGGTTTATCCATCTTGTTTTGATTTTATTTTTTATATTTTACATTTCCTAATGCTTTACATCATCCAGATTATAATGCTGTTATGCTGGATATGAACTTGACGTCTGCTAACAAATGTTTAATTAGCGTTCCCTGTAGAGATTTTGTCACAGAATATTAAATATTATAATCATTGTCTTTCACTTCTAATTTGTGCCTTTTGTGTTTTGATTGATACTATAAATTTTACACAAAGAACTCTAAAACTCTTCCTATTTCTCTCTCCATAAGGTCACATGTGCAGCAGTTTTCTCCTGTTTTCAGACTAACGCTGCTAGTGAAATGGCGATTTGTCCGCGCTCATTGTGTTATAAAAGGCAGGCCTATTTTTAGGCGTTTGAATGCAGCGTTCAGACAGTGTGACAATATCCTGCCACAGTAGCTGCAGCGGCTGCTCAGATCCGGGAGGGGCAGAAGAAGAAAAGTTAAGAGCACCATCTGTGTTTGGTCACCAGTGAATCGTCTAATTCTGACCTCCTTGTACACACAATTGTTGTGAGGTGACACCCACAGCAGCTGCTGTAGGCTCACCCAACTGTAGTTGGAGCCTGACTCTATATAGATCGCACACACACCTGTGGTCTCACCTCCCACCCTTGGCCCATTTAGCTCATTTTCACTCACTTACGCTTTTCTTGAGTGGGAAGCCACAAGTGTCAGCTGATGACCTGTTAATGGAGCTTTGAGACATGGCACGTTGTAAGGATGTGTTCGGTGTCAGCAGGCTCGCACTTTAGGATCACAGCTTACTGCTGTTGACATCCATAAGCTTTGTCTCAAATGCTTTGCAGCAGACTCCTCGAGAGAATTGTACACAACATCTGATGTGTTTCTCTTGGTTTCTGTACGTACTGTCATTATTATCAGTGAAAGGTGGGCAATAATGTTTGTTGTCATCCGTTACCAAATTATCTCATGAACTACAGTATGAATTTTAATAAAAACATTCTTAGCTGTACCTCTACAACTAATAACCTTTCAAGATGGCTACCATAACTGACCTTCGAAAACACAAAAATGGCTACAATTTTGTGCTAACTTTTAACGGGATAGTAGCTGAGAGAGTTGCACAACACAAGTGTTACTCATTATGGAAGAATTGTTTTGAGTCAGTACAGTTCAAAATGGCCACTACATTTATCAGCAATAACCAACACATGTCTATGTCTGAATTTTTCAGAATTGGGCTAAAATTGAGGTCCTGAGGCAAAAGCTTGGAGGTGGGAGGAGTTTGGTGAGGTCCTGGGTAGAGACCCTCAATCTGAGGAGATTCTGTCAAACCATCAGGCGGCTGAGAAAACATGGAAAACAACATTTCACCCACTCAGTGTACAAAAGCTCTGCGTCAGCATGGCTACAGGGGTGGATGAGATCCACCATGAGTTCCTCAAGGCTCTGGATATTGGTGGTCTGTCTTGGTTGACATGCCTTTGCAACGTTGCGTGGACATCAGGGACGCTGCTACTGGGTTGGCAGACCAAGGTGGTGGTCCCACTTTTCAAAAAGGGGGATTGGAGGATGTGTTCCAATTATAGGGGCATCGCTCTCAATCTATTCAGGGCTGCTGGAGAAGAGAGTCCCATCGATGGTCCAACCTCAGATCCAGGAGGAACAATGTGGATTGGATCAAGTGGGGGAGTTAAAGTGTCTTGGGGTTTTGTTCATGAGTTGGGGAAGAATGGCACGTGAGGTTGACAGACTGTAGCTTCTGCAGTGTTGTGGACACTGCTGAAAGGGAAGCTGAGCTGCAAGACAAAGCTCTGTTTACTGGTTAATCTATAAGTTCCTATCTTCTATAGTCGTGAACTTTGGACAATGACCGAAATACGAGACTGAATACAGAGGGTCAAAATGATTTTTCTCCACACGACAGCTGGACCCTTAGGAATGGCACGAGAAGTTTAATTTAATGGGAGAGACTCAGAGTAGAACCGCTGCTCCTCCACATCAAGAGGAGTTGAGGTGGTTTTGGCATATCTGATCAAGAGGAAGACCCAGGACATGCTGGAGAGACCGTCTCTTGGCTGGCCTTGGAGCACCTCGAAATCCTCCAGAGATGTCTGGGCCTTGGTGCTGAAGCTGCTGCCCTCGCAACACAACTCTGGAACAAACGTAAGATGGATGGGGAAAAACTAGATGTAGTAGCTGAGAGTCCATCACAACACGTACTCTGAATGTGACATCTCTCAATAGATCAAACACTTAAACGTAACTTTTTTCCCCAGAGTTGACCTAAATTGCTACAACTCATTTCTCATAAAATCATTGTCTAAAGCTGATATGCATTCCTCCAGTGAACGCCAAGCTTAAAATTATTGCCCTTTTTATGTTCACTCCAGTGAAAAATACGATAAAGGAGTTAAGAAAGCCAAACGTAATTGCCCTGAACATCAACATATGTGCATTAATCTTTATACGGTTCTTGTATTTAGAGCGCAGTCGCATTATAATGTGACTGTGTGGAAAGACGAGCCCACACCAGCGATTTGAAGAAGCTGAGGAGAAATGTGAGTAAGTTTGGCTCTAACTCAGTCCTGACAGGTCACTGTATTACACTTAATCAGATGGTGATCTTCAAGCACTCATCCTTTTTTTTTATCAGTTGGGAACTAGAAATGATCGACTCGCAAATCAGAACATCAAATTACAAGTTGATTACGATGTAGCCAAGAGCTTGTGACATCAGGACCTAACCGTTACGTCTTCAGGAGTGTAGGCTTGTTTGAAGATTCCTCAGATGAACTTCTGTTCCTCTAACATTTTAGCACACAATTTCTCATCCGCACTGACTTTAAAATGGACAACTTGGAAAATACAGTGTTCTTAAGCCTTGTGTCATTCTCTGCCTTTGCTTGTTAAAGCTGCACCATTTTAGACGTGTAAACCCGTTGCAGTCTTTAGTTCAGACAGTCCAGACATTGATCTGAGTGAGCTTTAACCTTCAGTCCGCTCTTCGTACTCCTGACCCCGTTATTCCACTCGTCCGTTGTTACAACGAAGGCTGTGTGTGTTTTTCTTCATAAGCATACGGTACTACAAGTGCTTTATGAAGCATCATTTACCTGTCACTTCCTAAAGAGGACATAGTTTATAAATATCATCCAGTGAAGCTGTAGCTGGGGGGCTACAAAAAGGCCACCCACAATCTCCCCCATTGTTCACTGACTCCATTGTTGGTCTGCCATCCCAGCTGCTCGGCCATGGTAAGTTAGATTTTATGTCTATATTGAAGTTGGTAGTAGCTTTGTAAGTGTTAATATCTCAAAACTTCTAGTCGCTAAACGCAATGACTTTGCTCTGGTCATTAACAAAGATCAACTGTACATAGCATCTAGACTGAGTCTCACATTTGTGCTTAAAGGCCCCCAAGAAAGCCAAGAAGAGAACAGCAGAGGGAGCCAACTCTAATGTGTTCTCCATGTTCGAGCAGGCCCAGATTCAGGAGTTCAAAGAGGTGAGAGCTTCAGAACCAGCGTTGGTTTCAGCCACGGGTTCAGAATGGGCTCAGGTGATGTTTGAAAAGGTGGAAGTGATGTTCATGTTAAAAACTGCGATCCGAGGGTTTCTATATACGGATTGATTGCGTAAGGCGGCACACGTTGAGGTGTCCGGCTACTTCCCGTCCTTGTCTTTTTTTTTTTTCCATTGTTCACGACTGTAGCATCCATCTATTTTCATGCTGCTGGCTTGACAACAGCGAGGCTTGTGGTATGTTGGTATGAAGGTCGGTGGTGCCCAAACATTTAGACCCTGTAATCAGTGATTAGGCCACAAATGAACTGCTGTGTGTGTCCCGGATGCCAGACAGAATCTGAGAAGAGGGGCTTACGGGTTATAAATACTTAACGGTCTCCATCTATAAACGTGATTCAAATATATATATATATATATATATATTTCAAGGACAGAAATATAATTTAGAATGTAAAGATGATTGTTCTTGGCTGCACTGTGGTTTCATCTAAAATGTCGCTCAAGAAGACTCTGTGTTCGGATCGCAGGCCTTCACCATCATGGACCAGAACAGAGACGGCTTCATCGACAAAAACGATCTGAGGGACACTTTCGCTGCTCTGGGTACATTGACGTCAACGCTCAGATATCTTGGAGATGGCCGTCTTTCAGGTTTAATTTGTGCCGTTTGTTTGTGTCGTGTGCGTTTGGGGCCGCAGGGCGTCTGAATGTGAAACAGGAAGAGATCGACGAAATGCTCAAAGAAGCTCCCGGCCCGATCAACTTCACTGTCTTCCTTACCATGTTTGGAGAGAAACTGAAAGGTAAAGACACAAAAGCTGCAATAAACAATGTGATTATGGTTTAACTACGTATTTTAGGAGGAGTTACAGCTCTTTATTGTATGCAGGCGCTGATCCGGAGGAGACCATCCTCAACGCGTTTAAGGTGTTTGACCCTGAAGGAAAGGGCGTGCTGAAGAAAGACTAGTGAGTGATGCTTCTGACGATAGTCCACTATATTCCAGTTCATTGCAAACAGAGCTTCATAATCTTCCCCCCCACACAGAAAAATCTCCTTTTCTTTCCCCTTTCCAGTGTGACACAGATGTTAACAACACAGGCCGACCGGTTCTCCGCTGAAGAGGTACACTGGTGTTTTTAACACTAATTATCATCATTATTACAGATTGCTTTGTGCATGTGGGTGAGCCTGAAAAAATATGAGGATGAACGTCATCGTGACAGCCAGCTGCTTCCACGTCAGACGCATTTTTGTGCAAGAACTAAAAAAAACAAACTGTGAATCATCCCACCCTTTTTGTGCAGGCTGAGTAATTTGGTGGTTTTGTCTGCCTTTCCCCCCCCCTGTTGGCTAGATGGAGCAGATGTTTACTGCCTTCCCCCCTGATGTGGCAGGAAACCTGGACTACAAGAACCTGGTTCATATCATTACTCACGGAGAGGAAAAGGACCAAGAGTGAACCGTTTTTTCATTTATGTTTTTGCCTAATAGAAAGTCTGCCTCTTGAAGGAGAGCCGTGAACAAAATACAAACTCAGCTCTTATGTTGATTTCATAGTTTTTTTGCACAATGAGACCGCGTCCGGATCTTAACATGTTATTTTTAAGACTCTAAAAACAGACAATTAGGTGATTTAATACAGCATGCTCTCTTTCCCCTTTCTGTTTTATCAGTTTATATTTCCACAATCCCCAGACAAATAAAATGTATTGTCCTCATCAGTTTTTATTCCCAAAGTTGCTCTACTTGTTTCTTATTGTTAGACTTATGTATGTTTAATAAATCTTTTTGAAGACAGTTACCAGCCTGCTTTTTGGACCAGTCTAAACATGAGAAAGATGATACAGAATTATCGTTTTATTAATTCCAGGTTTTTTAGTACAACAGTAGATGACTGCTGTTCCTCCAAGAGCTCAACCAGGAAATACTTGTAACCAGAGTTGCACAAAAAAAAAAAAAGATGTGTACACTATGTTTGTCTGCCGAGACGCAGGGATTTACTGAGACAAAGCTCTGTTGTTATTTTAGTGTTGTGTAAATGTGAGGAAGGTCATGCTACACTGTGGAGTCATACAGGCGGCTGGCTCCCAAAAGAATGGCACCAAGTAATCCCCACCACCTTCACCCATCTCTCGCTTGCCAGACCTTGACTTTGTGGCGTGGGGAGGTGAAAATCTCTGGTTGCTCCTGCAGGTGTCAGGGGCAATGGGGTGGGGACACCCGGCTTCACATTTATCCTCTGCAGGATGGACTGATCACATGACTGGGTCAGTCTGATTTTTTAATGTATATAATATAATAAAGACATCAGTGTCTGTGAGGGTTGATGAGCATTATAAAAACAATCCTCGCACACTGTCCGGTGCAGATCTTCACGACCGGAGCTTCAGTGAAACATCTGCGTAAGCCTGTGTCTGTCCTTGCAAGTAAACTGGGTTAAAAACGTACTGTCTTCATGTGTGGCTCCTTTTTTTTGTAACGAGAGGATATTTTTATCCAACAGATATTTACACAAGTTTCTAGTTATTTTCAAGTTTTACTAGCAAAGGCAGCAGCTAACTTGGCATTCTGGTGCAGCTTGAGGTACATCCTGCTGAGCTGTATTATTGTTGCTGGACTGTAAAACTGACAACAATGTAAAAGTTTTGTTTTTTTTGCATAAGCCGCTGTAAACAGTTTAAGATGGTAACTCTTTAAAGTTGACAGTGTTTCACTTCGGACTGGGCTTTGATGACAGTTAGTTCATAAAACCAGTCAGAAATAAACCCCATTTCTCCAAAACTGATAGTTTAAAGAGTAATATTAAAAACTAGTATCTCACCTGGCTGGGACTGTTTGAGACACAGACCTGCCTCAACGTTGCAAGAAAATACACAGATTTGTAAATTCTGAGAGTTTGCAAACGACAGCTTTGATGGAAATCTCATTAGGACCACATAAAACCCATTAAACCCCAGTAGGAGCCATAATGGTGCTCCTCAACACTTCAACCTGTGGTTTCATGTAATCTTTTCTCCAAAGAAGCTTAAAAAGTGTGCTGATGGTGCAGTTACAGGCTTCAATGGAGAATTAACCCTGTGGCTAAATAGCATTTAGGTTACAACCATCCAGGAGGAATAATGGATGAGTTTTCCAGTAAAATGTGCAATTTTTGCCGAGTGAGTCTTTTCAAACAGGGCCCACTTTAGCTACTTGGAGAATAATGGAAATACTGTGTGTCTGTAGCATCTTCATTTCTTTTAGCTGTTTTTACTCATGTGATGGACTTGCGACCCGTCCAGGGTGCACCCCGTCCCTCACACAGTGATTGCTGGACATGGGTACCGGCGACCCCCGTGACCCAAAATGGAAGAAGCGGGTAAAAGATAATGGATGGATGGATGTTTTTACTCAGATTGCATTTGAGCAAAACAGACAAAAAAGTTATCTTAAGCATAAGTTTAATGTTTATACTTCATTTTATGCTATGCATTTACAAAATGTTGCTAATAATGAATGAAACTTACCTTTAAAAGCACGAGAAATAAGAAAATACAAAAGTGCAGATAAGAAGTGAAGTCACTTTGAAATGCTTCATCCCTTTCATAAATATCAGTACAGCAGATAAACGCTCATAACAAAAATAAGTCTATCCAGTTTAGATGTACACGTTAAAGAAAGAGAAGAGGCCGCCTACAGTCGTCTTTAGATTCTCTGCGCTTAACTCGACATCTTGTAGAGACTAAAGAAATAGCTTTTAGGTGAATCTGCTGTTTGAGATTTGCTAAAGCAGTTTAAACTTGAGTTGTTGTGTCTAAAATAAACAGAGCACTACCAAAATCTAAAAGAAGCACAATAGTTAATAATTAAAAATAACAAATATTAACTAAAATATCAAATACGCTAAATGGTAGCTGTAAGCTACAAGTAACAAAATGCTAGCTAAAAGTGACAAAAGCAAAAGGCTAAAATAAACTAAATATTTTGCAAGTCTTGTTAAAACCTAAAAACAGCAAACGGCATACAAGAAGATAAAAGTATCAAAAAGCTAGAAGTTAAAAGGAACATAACCAAAAGCTTAAAGTAACAGAATGATAGCTAAAAGTTATAACAACAGACAACAGTTAAAAGCTAAAAAATAGCAAACAGCCAGCTAAAAATCATAAATTGAGAGCTAAAGGCAGCAAAATTGTAGTTAAAAGCTAAATGTAATAAAACAAGACAAAGATAAAGGAAGTAACAAAATTCGAAAAGAACAATGTTTTAAAAAAAGTGATGAGATCAAATTTTTATAAATTTAATGTTCAGAGCTACTCGAATAAGAATAAAAACTGAAACCAAAGGTCAAGCACTCATCTCCTGAATAAGCTGGATGTTTTAATATACGAATATCTAAAATAGTTCAAAATCCATATGAAAATGGCAGGTAAACAGAAAATAACAACAGTTCTGAATAAGCTTTCACACAAGTAACATTTTAAAACTATGCAAATTATGATTTTTTTTTATTTATTTAATTCATTTTCTCATAATTTTGACCAGAGGGACAAGTTCATTCCATTGTTTTTAATTATTAGACATTTCAATCTTGTTTGTTCAAAGTAAGATCTGATTATTGATGGAGCTACTGCCACCATGTGGCTTTTTATTACGTCTGCTGTGATTTGGCTCTTGGTCACAACATGAATGCAGAAAACCTGCAAAATGTTCATGTTTGTCTTGTTATATTGTCAGTTTTTATGCAATAATTCACAGTATATATGTTTGTCTATGTTATGAAGTGATGGCAGGAACTAACAAACACATTACGGACCTTCTCTGGCTCTTTGCCCCGCAGCCACTCACTCCACCTTTCTGTTCTTTAGTAGCTGCTGCAGCTCTGGATGGTAACAAAAACTAAACAACAAATACTTTTTTTTTTTTTGTATATTTATCTGAACATAACTTGTAGGAATTTCTGCTTTTTCCAGCTGTCCATCTCTAGGAACAGATACAGCTCCAACTCTTTGACTTGACCTCATGTCACTATGGTTTTGGAGCAATGTTTGAAACTCATATTTGTTGTTCTTTATCTTAAAGTGAGAACATCTTTTTATAATTTTCATTTCCAATCCCATGACTTTCATCTCTGCCTGTGCTCCTGTCTTATCCATTTTATATTCAGTTTATTAACACTTTCTGTAAAGTCTATTTTGTTAAGATTTTTAGGATTTTTCTTGTCGGACTGCAATTTTGTTTTCTGTTTTCAGACCTATTTGAAAGGTACACAGACCGAGGACAATCTTTTAGTTTTTCCTGACTCTTACAAAAACGATATCGGATTTTTCCACACCTTGACTAAAGACCTGAGCTATTTTCTTTAGATTTTAAAATGTACTTATTCATATTTTAGTGACCTTCTTGGTCCGCACAGGAAAGTTGAAACGGAGACAGAAGAATATTCATTCAACCTTTATTTAAGCAGGTAAATCCCATTGAGCCGCAGGGATTCATTTACAAGAGACCTGATTTCAACAAAGAATGACGACAAGAGCAACAACAATAGACAGCCACAAATAGGCATACAGATTTTTTTTGTTTGTTTGTTTTTACAAATAAGATGGCAAAAAAATAACAAAAACAGCTAGATTATAAGGCGAATGTAGAAAACTAAAAACGTGAATATGTCTGCACTGGTCCTTGCCAGGAGTCCAACAGATTTTTAAAGCCACTTAGAGAGGCCAAGGTCGAGAGCTTGACCTCTCTAAGAGGCTTTAAATAAATATATATATATATATATATATATATATATATTATAATAAGACAGAAATTAACAGGGAGGGAATTAGAGAAGACAATACATAAAGAAAATAAGAAATCATACAACCAATAAAGGTTAGAAAAAACTAAAATATAGAGCATAAACTGATATTTTTTAAATAAATATATAAAATAGGAAACAAGAAAAAAAAACAATTGTAGGAAAATAGAGGGGAAAAAGTAATTAAATGGGGTTAGTGACACAAAATTATTCCAGTTAGGAGTTAACATGAGTTATTGATTTATGCTACATTAGTTGATCAATGATTAGATTTTTATTATGTGTTTAAGTACATTTGCTGTCAGTCAGTGATGTAGTGCCAAGCTCTGCCGCTAGATGTCGCTGTCTCCTGCGCGTTGTGTGGTTCAGCCGGCCGGGGGGCGGGGGCGGCTGGATGAACTGTTGTTGAAGCCTCCTGTGGGGGTGCCGCCGCTGCTTCTGAGTGTTTGAAGACTCGTTAAGGGGAGGACTTAAAAAAACTTCACATCCAGCGAGGGGTCATCATCCTTAGGAGATTTTTTTCTTCTTCTTCTTCGGCACACAGGAGCTTTCCAGTCCAGCTGCGACCTTTCAGAGAGTGAAAAAAGAGGACTCGGTCCGGTTCTCATCCGTTGGAACCATTTCCGGCCAACATGGATGATTTAGGTAAGTTCGGTTCGCCGTGAACGCAACATTGAAGCGGCGCGTGCGAGCTCACCGTCACTATAAAACGACAGCGACGCGAAAAAGAGAGCCAAATAAACGTTCGTGGAGGTAGACAACTGTTGTTACCGCTTTCAAATTCCCCGCACCAGCTTAATGATCCAGGTTGAATTAAAAGCAGTGCGAGTTTTATTTTTTTAAGACCTGCACGTTTCAGAAATTAGCCTCGGTTAGGATAATCAACTGCGCGTGTTAGCTGGTTTTAGTTAGCTGACGCGTCTGGGTGAAAACAGCCTGTGCTGCATTGGTCCGAGGCAAAGTGGGCTCGATCAGGCAGGACAAACACTCTCCCGTGAAGTTTTTCTCTCACACTGGAACGACACGAGAAGACATCCGAAGGGACGCCAAGCCAGCTGTTTGTTTTGATAACCAGTCCAGCTGCTGGTGGGCCAACAGCTGTGGCACCTCCCACACATCTGGTTGTTGTGGGGTGTTGTATGTGAATCCAGGAGAGTTGTTTTCGTTTCTCTGCTAAGATGAGATGAGCTCAGTGAAGGATGCACCTTGTGACAGCCTAAATGTGAAGCCTGAGGGGCCAGATCGTTGTGGAGTCTCCATCTAATGCCAGCTCTTTATTTGTTTGAAGTAGGTCCTAACATAAATCAAACTACAAAAAAAAAAAAGCTCCTAGTATTTCTTGAAGGATTACATATCACCTGCTTCCATTCATACCAGTTTACAGTAACATCATGTTTTGGTCAGACCTTGTAAGTGAAGTTATGAATGATCTCATGGGATATTGTGAGAGCTCACCAGATGTGTTGGGGATCACTCTTCAGCTACTACCACACTAAATTTTAGCTTAATATCTGTAAAGCTGACTGAGTTGTAGCTTTTTGAGTGTCATTTAGCTCTGGTAGTGGACATCTTAACTTTCAAAATGGCTCTTTTCTTTGTTAATCCACAATGGGGAAATTCATTCTCTGCATTTCTCCCAAGCCACATACACTGCCTGACCAAAAAAAAAAAAAGTCGCCACCTGGATTTAACTAAGCAAATAGGTACGAGCCTCCTATTGGATAATTACTGCATGGATTATCTTTCAGCTGCAACAAGTTATTTAACCCCAACTGATGCAATGAGTTGCTTCTCATTTCTTAAACAACCACGTTGAAAGACACGTCGCGTGGTCGTGGAAAAGACGTCAGTCTGTTTGAGAAGAGTCAAATCATTGGCATCAAGCAGAGAAAACATCTAAGGAGATTGAAGAAACTACTGAAACTGGGTTAAGAACTGTCCAACGCATTATTAAAAGCTGGAAGGACAGTGGGGACTCATCGTCTTGGAGGAAGAAATGTGGCCGGAAAAAAAATCCTGAATGATCGTGATCAGCGATCACTTAAACGTTTGGTGAAATCAAATGGAAGAAAAACAACAGTAGCACTCAGGGCTGTGTTTAATAGTGAAAGTAAGAGATTTCCACACACACACACAATGTGAAGAGAACTCAAGGGATTGGGACTGAACAGCTGTGTAGCCTTAAGAAAACCACTAATCAGTGAGGCTAACTGGAAAAAAGACTCCAGTTTGCTACGAAGCATAAAGATCGGACTCTGGAGCAATGGAAGAAGGTCATGTGGTCTGATGAGTCCAGATTTAACCTGTTCCAGAGTGATGGGCCCATCAGGGTAAGAAGAGAGGCAGGTGAAGTGATGCACCCATCATGACTAGTGTCTAGTCATCAATGCAAGATCTTGGTGAAAAATTAATGCAACACTGGATGGAAATAGATCTTGTGACATTGAAGAAGCTTCTAGAAACAATGACACAGTGAATGCATTTTTTTTATTTACCCATTATTTATACAGGTAGTTTCATTGAGCCATGAGAACTCCTTTTCAAGAGAGACTTGTTTAAGGAGCAGATGGTGGGGGTTAAAAGCCTTGCTCAGGGGCCCAGAATGGGGCAAATGAGGGTGGAGGGAGGTGTGGGTGTTTCACCTTTTCCACCCACATTTTGATGTTGACTGTACCGGGAGTTGAACCTGCGACTTTCTGATCACAGGCCCATCTTCTAACCTCTGCGCCA